TACCCTGGTCATTTTGTATGATGGGACAGTTTCCTTCCACCAGGAAGAGAGAGTCCTCAGAGATATTTTCTTACCGCATTCAGCGGGTTTCAACAGGCCAGCCAGACTATCCCATCCACCAGACCCCGGAAATGAGGGTTTCTCCACGGGCTCTTCTTACCTTCTCTCGCCCTCTTAGCTAATCAGTAGGCTTCTCCTGGTCCTAAAAGCAAAACAAAATAGATAAACAAAACCAATGAGTCAAATACCTTTCTCCAACCCAGCTGTTCCCGTAGCTACTGCCTTCTTAAGTCTCTCCTGTTACACCTCAGCTTTTTGAATTTTGATTCCAGGTAGTTAACATACAGTGTTATGTTAGTTTCAGGTGTATGAGACAGTGATTCAGCACTTCGTACACCTGGTGCTCATCACGACAAGTGCCCTCCTTAATCCCCATCACCTGTTTCACCCATCCCCCTGGCCACCTGCCTCCTGGGTGTCACACCCCAATTTCTAAAACAATTCACTATGCACCCCCTCTTCTGTCCATGCCATGCTCTACTGTAGTGTGCTTTCCGCTCGACTGTCTCTCCTGCTAGCTCTTTATAAGGTCCCCTTGGTTGGTGAGTTCTGTGGACAGTTTTTAGTCCTTGCTCTGTTTCGCATTCTGGTGGCCACAGCTCACCTCTCTTTTGTTCTTGAACTACACTCCTGCCCTTCCTGTTAGTCATGAAAATTCCATAATCCTTTCTCTTTAATCTCTCACGTTTTTCTGTTCCAACCTTTTAGTCACAGCAGCTTCAAAGTCTTTATCATCTTTTAGGTAAACTAGTAAAATAACTTGATAACTGCTTTTATTGCCCCGGAAATAGATTATTTATGGGATGGCAAGTATGTGCAGCATTCAAAACAAAAAAATAGACACATTCAGGCTTTACCCTCAAACATGCATTCAGTAGGTCTCGCTGAGTTACAAACCAGTGCCTGTTCAGGTGACCCTTCCCCATCATATGTTGTCCAGTCCCTGGAATCTGTTCAGTATGAAGTAGGAAAATAGCAAACATCTGAAGAATATGCTTCGGCTCGAGAGGAAGACAGGCCTCAAATTGAAGCATGTATTGATTGGGGAGGGGGGACTTGGATTCTGAAGCCTTTTTGGGAATGGGTTAAAGTTGATTGCTTTTAGGAGGATGGTCAAAGTGCTTTTCCAGGATTAATCCCGTGAGAACACAGCAATGACACGGGGAAGAGGGGAGAGCTGGGACAGCAGTTAGCTGGCTCTGCAGTCATGTAGGCACAGGGGAAACTGGTCCCAAACTTGGCACTGGGACTAGAAAAGAGGTGGGCCCACCTGAAGAAGTTCGGGAGAGCGGGCTGCTGGCTGATGGTGGAGGTGGGGTGTGGCTCAGGGATGTCTCCCAAGCTGGGTGTATGTGCTGCGGCCGAAAGTCACTGTGTCTGTGGATGGGCTTTGACCGGCATCATTCATCTCTGGGGGTTGGGGTGCTTTCTGACATGTAATGGAAAGACCTAGCTCCAGAGGCTGTTCTGTAGACCTGACTGTAGCTATTTGGAACTGAGACAGGGTGGGTTTCATGCTTGATGCATCCAGGTCATTGTAGGCCTTTCTGGAATGCATGGGGAAGATGAAGAGGAGCTGCCTTCCTCCCTTGTCTCCAGTGGACTCACTGGAGGGGGTTCACGTGCCTGAGCCCCACAGCCCTACCAGCCCCCCTCAACCCCAGTAGCCCCTGTCCTCCCCGCCCACCATGCTCGCCAGATGGGGAGTTACTAAGACTGTTGATCAGTTGTGGCCTTGACCTCGTTCTCTCTGCTCAATTGATGAACTAAACCTCTCTGGAGAAGGATGTAACTAGTACATAATGAGACATAAACACAGGAGGTATAAGAGAATAAACAGGAAATGAGCACATGTCTCAAATTCCTGCTCCTGTGGTGTTGGGCTTGTGGGGGCTTCTCAGCAAGGCAGGTTCTGCTCCTCTAGCAGAAGCTTCTTCACCTGTAGGCTCTCTTAGTCTCCCTTGTTATCAAGTGCACTGTTTGCAAACCCAAAGAGTAAACCTATGATTGGACAAGGAGGCTAAATATTTTAGGGTGATAATGACCGTCCCGGACTCCTAGTTATGGTCACTCCTGTCAAACCTGTCTGCCCCATGTGGCATGCTCCTGCCTCTCCTATTCCCTTTCCAGGTCAGACCCAAGAAGTGGGGCTGCTTCCTTGCCTTTCCTCTTCAGAAAACGTTGCTCTCTCCACCGCGGACCTCCATGGATTCCATATTTTTAGTTCCCAGGGAACTAGGACTAGGGAGCCCCTCATTCCTAATCCTTTGGAGACCACAGAAAAGTGCCACGTTGAGCCTGTGAGGGATATCAGACCAAGGTTTTTATTCTCTCCTCGACAACCTCTGCCTTTCGGGGAGTGCTGGTTAGCTTCCTCAGGTGCTTTCAAGACAGTCATCTGTCAAAGTCTCAGGGTTATAATTTTCCCGTGACAGAACAGCTTTTAAAAGTGTAGTAACACCAGAAAGAAGTCTGCTCTTGAACAGTGCGCTAAATTAGCCCCCTCTGGCCGTCCTGTGAGTGCCTCAGATGCTGCTCTTACTGCGTACAAGCACAAAATTCCAGACCTTTCCCCAAGGACAAGGCACTTCTGCTCAGTTCCTGCCTCGCGTGGGGCTGAATCAGCATCTCACATGCCCATCTTTCAGCTCCCTATTATGTCTGGGGAAGACTTACTGTCCCACATCTCCCTCCTTTCCTTGGAGAATGACTTAGCTATAGCTCAGGAAGTAATTAGAGCAGAGTCAGTGGGTAGGAATGTGCGGATCAGAAAGAATCTAAGCATCCGCGTATCTTACATTTCCTGCCCACCTCACCCTGGCCCCAGCTACTCATGGTCCCAGCGATGAGGCATGTTACTGGCTGTGTAAACAGTTTAGACAAAGTCTGTGTATTGTTGATGCTTGCTTACTATTAAACAAATTTTAAAACTTTTAACATTTTCCTAAGTCTTTTTTAACCATTTGGAATCATGGTGAACTTCTGAAAAGTAACATATATGCTCAGAATCTTCTGTTCCCTAGCTTTGCTCTTAAATTGCCAGTTGACTTGGGCTGATTCACCTGAAAAATGAAGAGAAACCGGAAGGAATAATTTCCTTTTTGAGCTGTTCTAACACCTTTGGGATTTTCCTAAAAGATCTCACAGTAATTTTTGAAGTCTTAAGAAATATTTTTTAATGTTTATTTATTTTTAAGAGAGAGAGCGTGAGCAGGCAAGGGGCAGAAAGGGAGAGAGACACAGAATCAGAAGCAGGCTCCAGACTCTGTGCTGTCAGCACAGAGCCCAACACGGGGCTCAAACCCGAGAACTATGAGATCATGACCTGACCCAATGTTGGGCACTTAACTGACTGAGCCATCCAGGCACCCTGTAATTTTTGAAGTCTTAAGTAACAAAGTCCACCTAAAGGTGTTCAGTGCTGATTGGGCTTTCTCCACAGATGGTCATGTTTCCATTAAAAATTAATACGTGCGTAATCGTATGCACGTGCGCACACACACACACAGCTGTGCTGATGGCTGTCTGAGCTCACATGCCCCTCAGTATTCTTAAGGGGGCTTGTAAGGGCACTGGGCAGTATTTTCATTTTAGGAAGGACGTGGGCTTGTATCTCTCCACTAGCCATAAGCCTCCGCAAGAGGCTTATTCCCTTATTCCCTATTAATCTTGTTTGGTCTTCTAGAAGGGTTTGTTGAACTCAATTGTCCATTGTTCAGAGACTGAGCTGAACTTCCTGCTAAAAGAGTCATAATATGAAACTCAGGGGCTGATAGGGGAAATTTCAATGTCTTTGTCCCGAAAGTAAAAATATGAACTTCCTTATAGTATTAACTCATGGTACCTTAGTATCTTATGTAGAAATTGCAAGAGCATCACAACCTCCAGAGAGTCTAGAATCACCGAAATGTCAGCCAGATTTCCTTCCACAATTTCCTAGCTCTTGTCACTTTGCTTACCTCTGAACTGCAGTGGGGCTGAAAAGGAACCATAATGTTGTGGTGTCTGAGGTAGAAAGGACTAGAATCAGTAATCAGGACAGGGAAATCCTGAATCTGAGTATGAAGGTGCATGAAAATACAGGCCCTAGGTGCAAAGGAGGGGGCCAGAACATTATTCTATCAAATTTCCAGCACCAAAGTCATTGCTAGTGCATCTATCTTTTCCTTAAAAAGGATTCTCTCCCTCTCTCTCTGTCCCTCCCCCACTCGTACTGTCTCTGTCTCTCTCACAAACATAAACATTAAAGAAATAAATACTTTGGGGCACCTGGGTGGCTCAGTTGGTTGAGTGTCCGACTTTGGCTCAGGTCATGATCTCACGGCTTGTGGTTTGGAGCCCCACATTGGCCTCTGTGCAGACAGCTCAGAACCTGGAGCCTGCTTGGGATTCTGTATCTCCCTCATTCTCAGACTCTCCCAAAATAAAAACAGAGCAAAACGTGCTCTGTCTCTCTCAAAATAAACATAATAATAAAAAATTTTTAATAAAAAATGAAAGATAAATAAGTCTATTAAAAATGATTCTTACATCTTCCTAATGGAAAGGGATATAAAGGAGAAATGAAAATGAGCAAACAAAAGTTAACTTAGGGGCTCCTAATTACCTTTGTCTTTTTCTTTTAAGTTTATTTATTTACTTTTAGAGAGAGAGAGAGTCAACAGGGGAGGGGCAGAGAGAGAGAGAGGGAGAGAACCCCAAGCAGGCTCCACGCTGTCAGCACAGAGCCCTATGTGGCGCTGGAACTCCCCGACCATGAGATCATGACCAACTCAAGAGCCTGAAGCTTAACCAACCGAGCCACCCGGGCGCCCCTAACTCCCTTTGTCTTGACGGACGAGGCTGTGAATCTGGATGACGCTGACCCACTCTGACCCTTTCGTTTTGGGACTCAGGCCTGGGCTCCCTAACGCTGTCCCCTGTGCTTGATTCCTCCGCAGGCCGTTGCTACCGCAGCATGGGACACGGGCCCTTTCCCCACTCTCTGTGAGCGGCCAGGGGCCGAGGTGGCCACGGGGATGCCCGTGAGCCGCCAGCAGTCAGACTCTTCGGAGATGGACCCGGACGCGTCGCCCGGCGGCAGGCTCGGTGACCTGAGCAGAGGGGGCAGCTTGGAGAGTGGAAGCGGCAGCTCCCGCTCCAGGAGTTTCACCCTGGTGAGTGACCACAGGCTTTACTGCGGCGGCTAGCTGATTTGGAGCCAGCCCCCCCCCCCCACCCCGGGAGGAACATTCTAGAACATCCTCTTGGGTTCCCCAGCTCGGCGTCCCTGCATCCTTGCTCTGTGAAGCAGTGTCTCATGTGTCCTCATCGTAAGTTTGGCGCAGATGCAGAGCCTTGCGCTCAGCGGTGGATCCGCTTCGTCACCGGTGACCCTGCAGCCGAGACTGCGAGGACTGTGCCCCGAAGGCTGCAGCCCACCCGGCGACGGCCTGCTGCTGTCAGGCTTTTGTATTCTGTCTCTCCGGATCCAGGCCCTGATAGAGCCTCAGAAGGCTTTGGCGATATTCACAGAAAGGGTCTTTAGCTTTAAAGGTGACCCATCTGTACCCCCTGCCCCTCAAGATACTCCTCTTTCAGGAGAGAGACCTTTGTTTTCGTCAGGGAAGGACAGGAGCGAATGAATGTTGGAGTCACTGAGAATAGTCTCTTTTGTTCATCTCAGACCCTTCTAGTGGGAGCAGAACTTCCTTCAGCCCTAAAATTAACCCAGATTGTGCTGAATGTAAGACAGATACATATGGTGTAGAGAGCAGTTAATAGTAATGAAAGAATTTTATAGACTCCTACTTGTATCTTCTCTTAAACCATCATAGTAACATGAAATACTATCTGATTTCATTAATTCACCAGAAGAAAAATATATTACAGATAACTCTCTGAATATCTGGGGAACTAGAAATCCTTAATAATGGAGAAGTATGTAGAAAAGACAGATGAACTTGGCAGTAATTAGTAGAGTGTGTGCTCCAAAGTATTATGAAACAGCCTGTTCAATGGAAATGGTGTTTCTTTTTTTTTAACATTAAAAAATGTTTTTATTTAAAAATTTTTATGTGTCTATTTTTTAGAGAGAGAGAGAGTATGCAAGCATGGGAGGGGCAGAGAGAGAGGAAGACACAGAATTTGAAGCAGGTTCCAGGCTCTGAGCTGTCAGCACAGAGCCTGATACCAGGCTCAAACTCATAAACGCTAAGATCATGACCTGAGCTGAAACCAAGAGTCAGATGCTCAATTGACTGAGCACCCAGGCGCCCCCCCCAACTATTTTTTTATTTTAAAGAGAAAGAGTACACAAGCTAGGGAGAGGGGCAGAGGGAGAGGGAGAGAGAAAATCTTAAGCAGCCTCCATGCCTAGCACAGAGCCCATTGCGGGGCTCAACACCACAACCCTGGGATCATGACCTGAGCCAAAATCAAGAGTCAGACACTCAACTGACTAAGCCACCCAGGTGCCCCTGTAGACGGTATTTCTAAGATTGAGGTGGTGACCTAGGTCCTATAGTCTATAAGACCACCCATGCCAGTGGTGATGGGAAACAGTGGAGAGTGTTGTCAGATGCCCTCATGGTATCTAAAGAAATGGGTGTAGCATGTTAGCAGTCAGGGTATTTGAATGATTTTCTCGTTGGACTTGAGGCAAGTCTATTAGCTTGCTTCATAGCATGGCCTCTTCTGTTGGAGAATGAAATAATAAATACCCTCTCTCTGTCTCCTCCTGGGAGAGACCATGATCCCCATGCCTGTCAAGGGCTTTGAATTTCGGGAAGAAAAGCTGCTGTGTTTGAATCTCTGTCCTAGTCACATAGGGTCATTCTTTACACTACGCAGTTAATTCCTGCTCTCACCAAATCTTAAGTGTGGCTCAAACTCAAATGCTCCCGAGACATACAGGACTTGACCTCCACGAATCTGTCCAGTGATGAGTGGCATTAACTGACTTTGCTCCACTCCCTCTGTCTCTTTTGTGTGTGTGATTGATTGGCAGCCGGGGGCCACCTTCCAGGTGTACCACCAACAGATAGGGGAATGGGTCCTTCATTCCCAGCAGGTGATCTGGCGGGTACATCACCACTAAGGCTTAGAAGATGAAAAAGGGTGTCTTAGAGGGATCACAGCTACCAGAGTACCCGCAAGGTGTCTTTACTGGAAGAAGCAAGTCTATAAAGTGAACTCAGGGAGGTTATGAGATACTGCCATAGAAACTACAACTTTCCATAGAATGTACGTATAGGCAGATGGGATGCTAAGGTCTGTCATCTGGCAAATTTGGAGACTATTAAGTATCAGTCCCAGAATCACAAAGGGAAGTGACTTATTTTGAAGCCTTTTATTGTGGACATTTTTTAATGTTTGTTTATTTTGAGAGAAGAGAGCACACAAGTCGGGGAGGGGCAGAGAGACGGAGAGGCAGAATCCCAAGCAGCCTTCACACCATCAGTGCAGAGCCCATTACGGGGCTCAAACCCACAAACTGTGAGATCAACCTGAGCCAAGATCAAGAGTCAGGTGCTTAACCGAGACACCCAGGCAGCCCTGTCATGGACATTTGTAGTGATATATTAGAAATATCATTAGATTCAAAAGGTGAGAGAGACCACAGATCTCTTCCATTTATAAATATCAGGAGGCCAAGGCGGGTGAAGTGAGGACATTAACTGCCTCTGAGGAAGGACCATTGAGCCATCAGCACTGGCCTGCAAGCCTTTACGGTAGGTCTGAGCAGGCAATCAGCAGGACATTCCCCAATATACTTATAATTTTTCTCAAATTAAAAAAATCCTTATGCCTGTTTAAAGTTACTTTCTTTTTTACTAACCAGTCTCTATCCTAAAAAATCAGCTCAGGATAGTAATAAACACAAGGGTATTAGAGACAAGCCCAAGTTCAAATTCAACTTCATCTCCTTTGTAACCTAAGATAGGTTATTCAGTGAATTTGCCCATTAGTTATTTTCTTCATTGGTTAAAGAGGGGGTGATGGGAGAATAATTCTTTCCAAGGGTTACTGTGAGGACGCACCGGCCAGCACATGATTGGGCTTCCCAACGCCAGCCTCTTTGGCAGACGCCCTGCTAGTTTCCAAGTTACATGCGATTCCGCTTCATCTGGCTGCCTCTTGTTGAGTTTTGTATCTCTGTCTCATCAGGAGTCTTCGGATTTTCTTCTTGGGCCACTAACGATGAGACTAAAGGGAAAACACTCCTTCCCCAAGCATCTCGCCGAGTTCCTAATTCTGGCAACCTCACTCTGGGGCATCGCTTTGAACTGAACTTCAGGAATGCATGCCCTCCACAGTTCTTTCCTATCTGGTAGCATCCTGCAGTGGGTACTGTGATGTGTCTGACTCCTCTCTGTCCCCCCCCCGGCCCCCGCCCAGTGCCCATCACTATACCTAACGGAAGATAATTGTGGTCATGGCCTGATTGATTCTACTTTCAGGAAGTACACAATAAAATTACATTCTTGGGGCGCCTGGGTGGCTCAGTTAGTTAAGCGTCTGACTCTTAGTTTCAGCTCAGATCATGATCTCATGGTTTGTGAAGTCGAGCCCCACATCATTCTCTGTGCCAACAGCAGGAAGCCTGCTTGGGATTCTCGGTCTCCCTCTCTCTCTGCCCCTCCCCTGCTCTCTCTCTCTCTCTCTCTCTAAACTGAAAAAAAATAAATTAGGGGCACTTGGGTGGCTTAGTCGGCTAAGCATCTGACTTTGGCTCAGGTCATGATCTCGCCGTTCGTGGGTTTGAGCCCTGGGTCGGGCTGTGTGCTGACAGCTCAGAGCTTGGAGCCTGCTTCAGATTCTGTCTCCCTCTCTCTCTGCTCCTCCCCTGCTCACGCTCTGTCTCCTTCTGTCTCTCAAAAATAAACATTAAAAAAATTAAATTACATTCTCATGATATGGGTGTGACCACGTAATTCTGCCACGTGCCCCACTTGACTGCTCATTTCTGTCTGTTGGTGGACACATCCTGGTCCTGTTCCAGTACCTTCTCTGTGGATCCCTGCTTTTTTTCAAGCATTTTCCCTTGTGGGAGATCATCGAGCCAACAGTAACTGTCATCTGTTGTTACCTCACAGTTGTGTATTTGCCGTAGAGAGAACTGGCACCCTGAGAAAATCTGGCATTTTATTTTCTTGTTTTCTTTTCTAATTTTTAGGCATTTCAGTTTGTTTGTTTTTTTTTTTAAAGAGGGAGAGCATGAGCAGGGGAGAGGGGCAAAGGGAGAGAGAAAGAATCTCAAGTAGGCTCTGCAACTGTCAGCACAGAGCCTAACATGGGACTTAAACACACAACCCTGGGATTGTGACCTGAGCTGAAATCAAGGATGCTCAACCAGCCAAGCCACCCAGGAGCCCTGGCGTTTCATTCTAAATGCAACTCAAGTTTTCTAAACAACTGTGTAGCACTTGACTTTTACAAAAAAGCAGTATATTAGCAGCCAGCCCCTTTCACCAGAACCAGCTACACCATTAAAAAAAGAAATTCTGAACTTTTGGGGAGTCTAAATGTGGAGAGGAGCTATATGTTTTTATTCTGAGTCATCAGATCAAAAAGACCAAAAAATGCTCGTCTTTTTTAGAATGGGAATCAACCATAGTAGCTTCTCCACTGTCTGTTCTTAATCCCTGACCTCAGAAAGACTAGTCGGTGACAGTGCTTTTAAGACTCTAAGTTGTAGCTGTTAAGTGCCCTTCTTGGCGGGCTCTTTAAATAAGAGATCACTTACTGATTTGTAGAAGCATTTCTTTTGTAAGCTGGAATTCTTTTTGAAAGAAGATAAAACATTAATGCCCGATGTTAAATGAGAGTATCCTAAAGTTTTTGAACACTAGCTGAGGGGTTGCCTGGGGTATAACAGATCTCCTCTCTTTAGAAACTTTCCTCCTGAAGGAACTTGACGGAGGAACAAGGGGGAGAAGAAGGGCGGAAATGGTGGGGGAAAGAGAGAGAGGCAAACCATGAGAGACTCTTGAATGCTGACAAAAACTGAGGACTGATGGATGTGTTGGGGGGAGGGGGGGTGGGCATGGAGGAGGGCACTTGTGGGGATGAGCACTGGGTGTTACGTGGAAACTAATTTGACAATAAACTATTTGTAAAAAAAATAAAATAAATAAATGGTAGAATTCCCTTGTGGAAAAAAAAAAAAAAGAAC